GGCGAAGTGGAGAATGTCACTGGAAAAATGGGAAACGAAGCGATAAGGAGAAGGAGAGTGAGCCGACACGTTTTGATCAAGTGTTATTAAATATTTATATTCAGACAAAAATAATTTACAGACACGTAATAAATAGGGTGAGCAGTTAACACAAACATACACGATCATGTAAAAGGTCAGGGTTAATAAGCGAATGACTGACAAGATCAAAGTATGGCATGAAAAGAATGAATCAATTGGTCTGTTCAGAAGCTAGAGTAACCTACGTGGGCTTGACACGATGTCACTACAAGTTATGGAGGACGAATTCTCATATTAAAAAGGGAAATAAAGGTTGGCATCTAAACTAATGGAATCTTGAGTACCATGTGAATGTTTTGAAGACGTTGAGTTCCTTAAATAAGGTTCCTCTGATTCCAAAGCTTTGATTGTTCTTACAGACGACATTCTCACACGAATGCAAACAATCTGCTGAGTGAGTTTTACTCACAATCAGGATACAGGGGAATATTATTAAACCTCTTATTAAATATACGGAACCGATAAAGTATGAAAAACGATGAATTTTTGTCGAATTTCTAAGACATGTCGAATCCCTAGAATCCCGCTGTCGTTATTTTACCTTAGTCACTTATACTACTTATAAGTACTATAAAACGTACTAATCAGGAAATTAAATAACTCCCAGCTTTCTATCGATCGTTACCGAATCAAAGTTTGAGAAAGTTCCATTAACATTTTCTAAATAGTAAATACTATAATATTATTTCACTTAATCAGAGGAGAAAATATGTCCACAATATAGAGATCAGAGTTTCTACTGTAACCAACAACATGTTTACAAACAAACGTAGGCTAAATAAATGTATTTCATTAAACATATCATATCACAAAATTTTAAAATTTATATCACTATCCTTAACTGAGGAACTAAATAATCAACAATTCAACCCTTTATCATTTAAGGACAAATTTCAATACTCACAACAGCATCCTTTCTACACAAATCTCATCGATTATTTTTTTACGCCTTGAAATATTTTATCAGTGTGGAAAGTACAATTTATGTGCGTATTTAAACTAATAAAAGTAATTGATCAGAACAATTATTTTAATTATTAGTTTAACTTTAAAATTAGTTAATAATATCACTACTTACTTACGCCTGTTACACCTCGTGGAGTAGCATAGGTCGCCCACCAGCATTCTCCATTCAGCTCTGTCCTGGGCAATCCTTTCCAGTTACTATCATATATGCATGAAGTTCATTAAGCCTCATGTGCTAATCCTTATTTATTTTTGTTTTATTTGAACACATAAATATTGGTACAAGGGGGCACTAGATATATATGTGCCACACAAAATATGTCATTTTATTTAATTGTGTGAGGGCTATGATACTGGCCGGGTGCCCAGACCGAAGCAGGCGGTTTTATTAGGTGGCCACACCCGGAGCCTTTGACCTTAAGGTCTGATCCACGAAGCAGTGGAGCATTGTCAAGAGATGCAGTCCCATGGTAGCCGGTGACCGACGATTGATTCATACAGCATTTGTTCCATCAGGATACTGAAGCCCATATGCACCATTGGTTTAGAATCAGGGTTTTCAGACTCCCTTAGGTGGACTTTGCGTGTCCATCAACCCGGTTAAAGCGCCAGACATTCACTTTTCGTCCTCTCAATTTCATAAACAACACCCCCGCCACAAGAAGCCAGTGAGAGGACTTCCCTGGCAGAGGCTATATACGCGTGGCCGTTTGAGAGCATTTCGAGAGACAGGGAGAGCCCTCCTCACTCTCGGCCGTACCAGGACATTTGGGTGCTAATCCTTATCACGAAATCGATCTAACAAGTTGGTGCTTTAACTTTATGACCTGACCAATTTTTTCATATCGACATGGTTAAAGCGATTGCTATGATTTTCAAAAGAATATCATTTAGTTCCCGATTCCTTTAAAATGCATCATATACCACATATACATATTTATTTATTAAATCTAGATCGAGTACAACAACAGCCACAACTTATCCGGCAGCCAAACTGTTAATTCTGAACAAAACAACATGTCCAATAACTCAATCAAATGTCTACAACACCTCTTTTATGTTACCGCCAACTGTGTTTATAAATATACGTGTACCCGCTAAAGCAGCTAGCTACATTGACCAAACAGAAAGGATGGCATATCTAAGATTTTTGAACATGTTCCAAAAAGCCTTAAAACAAAAGAAATAACAATTTTGGACGGTTCTATTAATAAACATCTCTTGGATACAGTACATCAGATCGATACCTTAGTCTTTTAAGATGATTAAAAGACACTCAAGCTTCAGTCCTGACGCCGTTAGTATCAGACTTCAAACACTTGACTGTTCGAAAGATGGTTATTAATCTTTCTTTGCCTTGTTGGTAAATACCCACTTATGGCATCTTTAAATTTTTTAATCCTTTCTTTTATTTAATTACATCATTACGTCTTTTTATTTCAACTATCTTCTAGATTAGTAATCGAATTTTATTAACTGAGCTTTACTCATCTTAGCCTAATCAGTGTCTACTCATTACGTAATCACTAGTTTCGAGCCCTTTGGATTCTTACTACAATCAATTTTGCAGAATGTCTTTTACTCAGCATGTTAAATTTATTTACACCCTTGTTATACTACATCAGTGTACCATCAAAATAACTTCCACTTAAAATCTTCCATATAACTTAAATGCATTTTTTAATTATGATTTTTAAATATCACAGGTTTTAAGCAGTTGATGAGAACCAAATCATGCCATACTGCTAAAATCTTTGTTGTTGCTCTCTTCAAAAGTACATTGAGATGGTCATCAAAGATGTCAGCTACTATTATAACAATCTATAAATTTAGATGTATTGTAAAAACCTACTATGTTCTAAACAAAAAAATATCCAACTGGATACTCATATGAGATCAAATACTTGGTTCTTACTCTATTAAGAGTACTATGAATTTTGTTGATGTAGTTGCACTGGTCTCCAAATCGAGTTACTCGAAAGATGCAATAAATCAAACCTGACAACCTAAGTAGAATGTGTGGAATAAATACTTTTAAGAGCAACCGGGTGATGAAGTCTAAATAAAGTTGTTCCTGAACACCAAACGTAGATTTATCGAATACTTTTAGTTAATTCTTGAGAATGAAATCTGAAGGATTTCCTCTGTATTACATAATCCAGCCATCCCTGGTTGGGATTCGCGAGATGATAGCAATCGATTGTTAGAGACCTTGAATGACATGGCTCAAAATCGTTTGCAATGGCGAAGGTGCATCCACTCTGTGTCCTACCAAATTCTTATCTGAATTCTTCATGTCTCGATCTTTTTCTCTTTCCAAATTTATGTGATTGGATTATACTCCTTGAATAACATCTTCAAACCATAATCTTTCCGATTAATGTTTATACTCTTACTAATTCTACCACTGAGATTTGAATCGACAACTGCATCTCTGTGCTAATGTGTTATGGCAACTCGAACTGATGTACGTACGTAGGAAGTTCTACGTTGTGACTGACTGACATCTTTATTTATACTGAAGCACATTTTATACTTCAGACCTATTACACTAAATATTTAACAACCAATTACCGACCGACCATAGATCGCCAATTCAAAAATGTATATATTTCACCATCGGATAACAGTTGCACCTGCACCATTATAAGCCAAGAATTCACCCGTCGTGGTCAGCTCATTTAAACCCTAACATTACTTGTTAATATCTGCAAGTAATCTTCCTAAATACAACTCAGTTCCCAAGTGCTATCTCGACACTCCTAATGGAGGATACTGTTTAGTTGACTTCACACAGTGTGAGACCTAGATGCAGGGTTTCTAGTTGACTGCCTCCAACGATCAACCTACATCTCAACATAGTCCAAGTGATGTTGACTCATCCCGACTAGTGATCACATTGCAACTTGATCGATAGAATTTCATAAACACTAAGGACTTGACAAACATGACAATGGACACTAAACAGTGATCGGTTAATTGTAGACTTCATATATCTATTATACAGAAGGAAATAATGTTTTGAGGGACTAGACTGAGTTTTTTTGAGTTTGCACATTACACTTTAAAGTACAATTGATCTTAACTTTAACAACACTACTCGGTCACTTGGGATAATGTAGTTAGAAACAGGAAGAAATCCAAGTTGTTAGTTTTCCACCGAGTCACAACTGAAGATTGATACAAAACAAAGATATCAGGTGACTCCCATTACAATGAACCTTAAAAATTATTTACTTCCTCTATAAATTTCATTAATGGTCATAACTTTCTACCTAATTCAATATCAGGTAATACTTTAGGCAGGTTTGGATTAGCCCATTGATGTGATTCTCTGAATATCATAATATCAACTACATAACAGTAAAATTTATTCAGTATTGTTTGTTTGAATCTTCCCATCGATTTGTTAGGACTGCAACTGGTTTGTCTCTAATTGGTATATGTGCATACTGTGCATATTGCCTCGATATAGCCTTAATTCACAAGCATAGTAAGCAGAGATGGATAGTGGCTAGCAGTGGAATTCAGGACGCGCGTTTCGTCCTATTCGGGACTCGTCAGCTGGACGTACCTGCATCTCAGAGTTGATGTTCACTCTGGGACTCGAACCCAGTGCCCTCGCTTCAAACGCCATCGCGTTATCCACTCGGCAAATTGGCTATCAGGACTCAGTGGCCGAGTGGATAACGCGATGGCGTTTGAAGCGAGGGTACTGGGTTCGAGTCCCAGAGTGAACATCAACTCTGAAATGCAGGTACATCCAGCTGACGAGTCCCGAATAGGACGAAACGCGCGTCCTGAATTCCACTGCTAGCCACTATCCATCTCTGCTTACCAAACTACATAACAGGTTTATAATTTCATAAAATTTTCCAAGTTGGTTAGTACACCTTGTATTATATATGATTACTCTGTTGAGCTTCAGTTTCTTCCCATAAAATTTTGCTGATTTTAGTGAAGACAAGAAAACAGAATTTTTATTTCACATTAGCATAAGATAACAAAAGGGATTTATGTAAACATATATGGAAAAACATATATTAGCGGGCCTATCACATTTACCTGTTAACAGGTTCTAATAATAAAGAAAATCAAGAGACTGTCAAATCTATACACAGTTTAGTGGGAAACTTCAGTTTTCAGGTCGCGAGTTATATTTTTCTGCGATCTCTTCATGTGGATTCAGTAGTGGTTGGGACTTCATGTCGATTGGATTAATACCACTCAGGAACACATCTTGGGTGACTGAAGAACTTGAAGTACACATAGGCACTGAACCAACATCTTGAGATGCTACACAAACTATGAGATTCTCCTGCAATACAGAACCGGAAGTGCTATACGCCAAATCATCAGTATCATCCAAAGGGACTTCAACTCCCTCTTCAATTATCTGTTCAGTAACAATACTATCAGGATCTAGGGAGTCTGTAAAATTAATCGTCGGAACAATGTGTTCATTGACAGAATCATCTTCCGTTTTTAAAATAGCTGGATTTTCATTGTAACTACTGCATCCATTCAAACTCTGACTAACGGAAAAACGGTTTATAACACACTCTGACTGTTCTGAGTTATCACTAATATGATAGTAGATGGAAGGACATACTTGATTATTTAATTGTACATTGTTACACTCACCATAACCTGGTCTGAGTGTATGAGCCTGGAAAAATAAAAAGAATATAACATATTTGCTAATTAAAAAGAAAATAAATGCTGTTAATTGTATATAAAATATGAAGACATTTCAAGGGATGATAGCATACAATGTGTGGACCTTTGAAATTATGACCGTAAAACACAAAAGGTTGACATGTTCAACGATACAGAAACCTTATATGTGTTATGTTTTTGACCTAGACTGTAGCCAATTGTTATGACTTGATCAAGGTCGTCGCTGATTCGTTATGACCTTAAGAATTTAACAAGGACGTAATCCGCGTAAATTATCCACCAATAGAATACGACTTCTACGACCTTCACACTGTGACAATGACGTTCGATTAGTATGAGTAATCTAGCGTCCTTATTGGCCCTTATCCGCCCAACCCGTCCAATTGAGTCCAAAAACACCAATAGCAGCCTCGGCAATACGAATCGTTTATTCCAAGCATACTTTGTTTATATATCAGACAGGCAGACCACACCACACCATAAAATAGAAAATAATATTTGTACAAAACCAGGCCAAATGAAGCTGTAAGCGTGGGAGACAATAATCAATAAAACTGAGCATAACGTAGGGACAGTAAATCATATAGTAATAATCAATAGGTCAAAATAAAGCTTAGATAATCTAGTTACCGAATAGTTATACAATAAGAATGATAGTCCAATAGTAGGTCCTGCAAGTTACCCGTACTTATGTCTTCGCTACTACATAACAATATGCGTCAGTTACGATGTCAAGCTATAATCCGTATAACCAAATCCACACCAAACCCTACATCAAAACAACAAGTCACTATATGGACTCAACTCCTACCATAACTTTTGTTACTAATTTAACAGTTACATCAAAGATTGCTTGAATAAATCCGAAAACGCATAGTTTATTTTGGTCAAAAAAATTAAGAGGTATCAGGATATTTCAACTTGTAATGATTTAAAGTCAACATGATAAATGGTTGATTGTTAATCACAGCATAGATTTGACAGTTATGTATTTATTTGAACACAAACATTGGTATAAGGAGGCACTAAATACATATACGTCACAGACTTGAATCTTATTAATAACACCAAACCTCGATCGCCGATCCCTAAGAACATTGAGAACGTATATTAAACTAAAATATCATCTTGAAACGAACAGTAACGTTTCTTACAGTATATATATATATATATATATATTGCGCATTGTATTGCCTAGCAGATGAAGTGAAAGTATACTCGTCTATTGTGGATACAGGTTCAGTTGTGCTTGTCTTGATTGTTAGAGGTATGATGGCGGTTATCACTTCCCGGTTGCCTACATCGTGAGAGGGTTCTCCTAAAGGAACCCGAAAAGGAAATTGGGCTAAAGGTGGTCTTAGTGACCTGAAAGCGTGACCGCAGTGTCCAAGGGACAACTGTTTGAGGCTGGTCGCACACGTCCATTTTGTGGGTGATTTTTGTATTAGCTCCGTACTTGTTGAAATCTTATTGCAGGAGACGGATATCCATGGGACAAGACGAGGTGTGTATTTTTAGGGTCGGCCTTTTTTAAGCCCGCCCGCCCTTTATGGGAAGACAGAATCGTCGTTATGTTGGCTGTCTGAGGGAAACACATTACAGCTGCCACACCTCTGGTACACTCAGCAGTACGGCTTCGCCCTCGGATCTTGAGTTTGCTGATTTTAGTCTTACCGGCATGGTAATGTGGTGTGTACTACTGATGTCGACATTTATTTTATTTATTTAAACACATAAATATTGGTACAAGGAAGCACCAGATACATATGCGCCATACAAATCTCATTCGATTTGCTTGAGGGCTGTGATACTGCCCAGGTGTCCGAACTGAAGCAGGTGGTTTTCTTAGGGGCCAACACCCCAAGCCTTTGACCGAAAGATCTGATCCACAAGGCAGTGGAGCATCGTGAGGAGATGCAGTCCCATGGTAGCCGGTGATCAACGATTGATTCGTACGCCATTTGTTCCATCAGGATACTGGAGCCCATGTGCACCATTGGTTTGGAATCAGGGTTTTCCAACTCCCCTAGGTGGACTCGCCTTGTCCACCAACCCGGTTAAAGCGCCGGACATTCGCTTTTCGTCCTCTCAATTTCGTAAACAACAGTAATGCCACGAGAAGGCAGTGAGTAGGACATCCCTGGCAGAGGCTATATATTCGCTAGCCATGTGAGAGCATTTCGAGAGGGAGAGCGGACTCTCCCCACTCTCGGCCGTACCAAGGCATTTGGGGGCAAGCAGATGAATAGAATGTATCATCAATCAAAAGCGAAATGTCTGGCGGCAGAAGGTTAAGAAGATCAAAGAAAAGAGAACGAGAACAAAGAATGATTAGCGTAGACTCGAAAGAACAATGAAGTCTGAGAAGATTGACTGGTATTTGCAAAAGGAAATCAAGTTTGAGACAACTGATTGACATTTTGCAAATTAAGTATTTACTGTATGATTCTCAGATTTTACTAAGATGTTCTGTAATTCTGTGCTCAAATACATTCGATTGGCCCTACTTGTATTCTCCTTCACTACAGTAGGATCTCGAGGAACGACTGATCCATCCAGTATAACTCGACTGGACCATCACGACAGACAAGCCCAGCCACCACGTCAAGGTAGCTGCAATTTTCGGGTTCAATTGTGCTTAGATTCTAGAGATAATAAACAACAAACATTCTTAGAATGCAGTTTTTAAATATTCAAATCCCTCTAAATTGCACAAGGAAACCCCAACTAAATATAGGGATAGTAAAACTGATCTTTCGAATACATAGATGTGAACAGAAAAAGGTGGATAACTTCTATGAGATAGGTTTGACAAAAAAAGACCCCAAATAGTCAAATGCTAGCAGGAAAATGAAGAGTTGATGAGCCTGCATAACCACCATTGACTTTTAAAGGCTTTTCAGATTTTGATAATACAGTATTAGTATCTGAATGTTTTAAGAACAATGGTTAAGCATGTGAAGAGTACTGAAAGACAAGATTATTGTTATTATCCAGTTGATATACCAACTTTTAACTTGTGGTACACAGTCTCATATTCAACAGGAAAGGATAACAAAACATACGGAGAAAGAAAACCGGTGACGAAATACTCATAAACTAAAACTCCATCGTTCTTACAAAAAATATCTTAATTAGAATGATAAACATGTTGGCGTCATTAAAAACGTCACTGTGGAAGATAAAGTACCGTCAGATTAAAATGTGTCTACATGAGCTTAGTATACCAATGAAAGTGGATTTTATGAACAAGAAAGACTTAAAATCAACATAACTACAAAAACGTGATGTTCTATCCCAGAAACAGGAACATACATTTTATTCATTTTAAGACCTCACGATTGGAATTCAGTAATAAAATGGACAGAAGTATTAGGAATAAATAGCACTTACTCTGTGTAACTGGAACCAAGCACGACAGCTAGCAACACGAGCCCATACCAAAAGGCTATCAGTAGATATTCCAGGCTTCAGTTGTTGACCGAATGCCAGAACGACTTCGAAATGAGGACGTGACTGTTGATTTTGACGATATGAGTCCAGATGAAACAAAAACTGATCATAGTCGAATATTTTCTCCCGTAACCGACGTCCAAGCTTCTTTGCCAAAATATATTCTCCACCCACCGTCGGAATATACACAAAAACAGCACACTTGCATATTCTTTCAGCGTATATACTACCATGGATAACCGTCAGTATGATTCCCCTGACCATATTATCCAACAAGAGATCAACATAGGCCTTGTTGGCTACTGAGATTTGGTGTGGAATTTGTGCTTCAATAGGATCAGGAGCAGCAGGTGAACTGATCTGTAAGATACATTAGTCAAGAAAACAGTAAATACCTCATCAAATCTTCCATAGTAAATACAACAGCCATTAGGATTGGTAACTATTGTGTCTCTAATGCGGACACTTAGATGTTGGATGCGTACACCTAACTGATGGTATTCTGGTTCCATAATGTCAGGTAACAACTGAACATGTTGATTTGCTGAACCACTCCCAGGGACAAAACGGTTAGGAAGAGATATGCCGCCAGTTATAACTGTAGTGTTGTTTGGAGCTTGATACTCAGTGTAAGTTGATGGGGACAAGCTGGCATAACTATCTAAGTTCATGCTATCATTATCGCATCCCAGTCTTTGATTAGCATTCGTACTAGTAGAATTGTGATAAATCCTGTGACGGTTAAGCTGGTGACCTTGGAGTATATAAGCAGGGCGATAATTGGACTGGATATGTTGAACACCATCACCCCTTCGGATCTGAAATGATATAGCAGTGATAAATTACTCAATGACATCGATTGAAACGTCTAAAATAAATTTTATATAATATTCCTTTCAATCTTTGTGCACTTGAGCCAAAAGATGAGGCACCTTCGACGGAACAAAAATGTTTGAAGCAACTTCTTAAAATTTGGGGACAGGTGTTGAGGTCGGCCATTATAGTTGCGAATATTTTACATAAAGCAAGTACAAAAATATGTAGCCCCGAGAGAGTGAGTCACTCCAGATCTGTTTCTGCGCAGCAAGATTGTAAGTAGCTTACCTTTATCTGAATCATTAATAAATTAACAAATGGTGACTATGCAGAATGCAGCAAGATAACTATCTTCAGCTTGTGAAGTACGACCCCCAAGAATTGGGAATGTTTGTTAGCTACCTACGTCCGAGAGTCACTGGCTCCAACAAATATTTGGATGATCTAACCTGACAGCCTACTGATAGAACACAGCCATTCAAAGATATGGGCTTTTAGAATACTTCTCAACAGAATACTACGCAGGATGAGTGTGAGCAAAGTACCTGACAGTCTGGCTGAAATACGATGTTTGTTTCTCAACAATTGATGGTCTCAAAACTCCGAGATTAATGTTCTGGTCGTTTTTAACTGCCTATATCGAACACTAAATGCTGATTTTAAAACTGCAACAGCAAAGGTAGTCATTTTATATAAAGGCGCTCTAAACTATAACTGTTTCATATTATTATTACATATTTATAAACGAAGTTATAAAAACTGCACAACGCTACAAGATGTTAATCAAATCAAAGATAGCAAACAACGGTTGGAGATCCCAAGTCTGATATCCAACGAGGGGTAACAAGCGCAAGTTTAATTCCCACTACGATGGTATGGACGAGACAATTGGAGTGGAAGCGACTATGATGGCAACAACAAAAAACAAGACAAATAAGTGTACACATATTAGACTCAAAATTACCAGATAAACCGGACCCTCAACAATCAACTATTCTAACCATCACCGATCAAAATTATTTGAAATACAAAGGTAAGCACATAAAACTTCAACGCCTTAGAAATCGAACTTAATCATACCCCAAAAACTAATGAAGATAATTGATGTAGACAAATTTAGGGATTCTGATTTTACTTATGCAAGTGAAAAACAAATGAAATGATATAAGACTTAAATGCAATGCAAACGGTGTTAAATCGAAGTAAGCAACATCATACATACCAGAGCGAACCGACGGGAATTTGATTTCAGTCCTGACAACTTCTGGACAATCAGCGTAGGCCGTCTTGAAAGTGGAATTGGAGAATTCACTGGGGAGCTAGCAGAGTTCATTCCACTCCACGAAGTGAATCTACACCCTGCCTGTATACCATCGAAAATCATACTAGCATTTCTTATTGCATTCGCTCGCCATAGAGACTCTGTTTTGCTAACAAAGCGATACACTTTAAAAGGTTCTTCACAGTGTAAGTTGTGACGCTGCTTGACCTCTTGGATATCAGGAGCTTTGTTCAGCGCACAACGAAGCCGAGTTTTCCACATCGGCCAGTCAGGTGTATCGATACCCTCTCGATAACGCCCAGTAACAACAGCCCAGTCCTGAAAAGTAAGAATGTTTGTTCAACGATATACCTTAAATATAGCAGCATCATCTTCCGTCCATGTATGCTTACTATGATGCTTCCAGGGAATCCTAAATATTCCCTTTTCTCTGTCGATCCACTTTAGTCCTTCGATCCATCCGTCGTTAAGTCGACTTTCCAACCAAGGCCGAAGCCTGACACGAATATCCATACACTAAGAAAATCTACAAGAAGAAATATTGCATTATTTAGATTGTATACGTTGGAAAAAAACACGGTAATATAACTACCATATCTATTATTTAATGAAGAGATGGAATGTTCAGGCAGTGCAGCAAACTCTGCAGAGTGACATAAGGAAAGTGAAAAAGAAAACGAAGATGAAACCGAATCCATTACCGTTAACTCTTTTGGCGCGCTGTTAGGCCATTCAATTATTCGCTTCAACTTCACCTTTTGGTAGAAATAGTAAACTTTGTTCCTTGGGATATGAGTGTCGATAGCTTTCCAAAAAGGGATCCCAACCAATCTGTTGTCATTCAAAGCGTCACTAAAAAACATTAGAGTTGCAATGGTAATCTAGGCTGTCTCATGCTCCGTTTCAACTCAACAAACATCTAGACGAGGAATTCTGTCACTCATTTCACTTATTTTCGACACAACGATTTTTGAGGCTCTATCCATTTTAAAAGGGCAGTGGTATTTTCCCTCGTCGAGTAGGTCTTTTAGCTTTGATTGTGTCCTAAGATGTAAAGGCTTCTGTTAAATTTATCTAGGTAAGATTTTCAGCAACAGTAACATGAGTTTCAGCCTTTTATGCCCAGCGTCTATAACTTTCGGGGCTCTGAAAACACTTATTCTATAGATTTGTTTTTCTCACACTAGGAGATTTTTCGTGTTGTTCTCTCTGTGAGCTCATCTAACAATTTTAATGAAGTAAACAAAACATCGTTGTGGCATACCAAATTGCTTCTTTTCGGTCGAGGATGGAATGCAGTGTTACAACTGACACAAATGGTATCATATGTGCATCTAACTCACACCGGGTGCATACAGAAGAATTTTCAAGCCATTATCACCCTAGCCGTGCAAAGCATATCGGCCTACAAAGTCTCTGCTGTTTCTTGAGTCGATTAACGTGATAGATACAGCTAGAAAGATGCTCTCAGACAAATAGCCAGCAGCAGATGAGAAGCTGTTAGATTTTAGGGATGTAGGGATCTCTGTCATGTGTCCAGCTTTAGATTTGAATGACATCATCAAGACGGATCCTCATAACGCAGTGGATAACAAATAAACAGATTTAAGCTCTAGCTGTAAATAATTCTCAAAAATCAATAGCTCTGTAAGTGTTCGGCATTGGATGCTGACCACATTAGTTTTAGTGGACTCGTTCAGCTGAAAGCGCTCGGTCATGCATCCATACCAGATCACGTTACAGAACGGCGTGCGAAACATTTCCTACGATCACTAGTCAGATTAGATCAGTCACTTCTCGATATATTGATAACCCATCAAATATATCTTCCAACCTCCTCGCTTCTGAATTTTGATTTTAACTAGGTTGGCACGTTTCGACTATAGGTGTTACTGGTAATGAGTTGTCAAACTACAATACTGGTGGTATCTTTAAGGCACTGTCACAGGAAAGAAAGCACGTTAAAAAGCAACAAATTACAGAAAGCTGTAAAATATATTTGTTGATGGTTTCAGCAGCAGATTCCCATACTGACGCAAGATAGACTATTCAAGAGCAAAGCTTGAGCGGCGTAGACTATTTAATCAAGAAACAAGATAAGGTCAACGACTGGCTTACAGTAGCACCCAGAAAATAAAGAAAACAGTAAAATCTGGACACCTGATGCGAAATTGGAACGCAGGAATGAGATTTTAGGGAACAAAACCCCTCAGCTTGTCAACACGGATCTCTTTGAAAAGTCAGTCATTTTTAATCGGTTGAGAGTCTTCCAAAAAAGGACCAAAGGTTAGACTTGAACGCTAGCCAAGCAGTAGTAAGTCCTTAATGAGCAAGCTCTTTTCGGAAACAGTAACAGGATTTGGCATTCATAGGCCTTATCGAAAAGGATAAAAAGTGGATCCTGAAAGTAAGCAGGCAAACCGCCTCATAAAAATTGCTTTTGCTTCTGCTAAGGAAGGAAAACTAGTACTGAAAACTTTGTAGAATTGTAGCCTACTTCGCTAATAGTACTGCTCTAGTAAGATACCCGATCCTAAAATTGTAGATTTGTCATGATGTAACTGCCTAATCTGTATGATCTTACGTGGAAATAACGTCATTGTCTACACTGACTCATAGTATCGCAACAAACACTAATATATGATAGAGAACAGATTTAGGTTGAAAATAGAACAATATGTTTATTAATAATAAAAAGTATAGGCTACACAAGAATGATCACGCATCCAAGGCCGAGCCATGCCATTCGAGGGATTGGAATTCATCGAATTCATTCTTCCCTCCTTCTCCATCGTGGGGCTTTTCTCCGCGTTAAAAATTAGATATCTATTTTCGCAGTTGTCTCGTGTTCAGCGTTGAGGATTGTGTTTTTAGGGCCCTATATCATTACAAATTCACGCAAACTCACTGGATCTGGAATATGAAAAGTGCGGATCTCAATCTGACTGATCATATTTAAAAACAATCAGCAAAAGTAAAAGAAAATCAGTGCCGCGAGGACGGTGAAAATAACATTAAACTTAACGGTTTTCAGATAGTAAAATTTCTGAGTGAAACGGTTATCAAAGCGATCTCGGCCATATGGAAAAAATCGCCATATAATTAAAAATATGTCACACGAATCCGGAATTCAGTCGACAGACTACACTGAAAAGTAGTGCGTGGAGGACAGCTGACAGACAAGGCTGATTACTCTACCTATTTCTTTTTCTTCTGGTGGTTGACCTTGTTATGAAAGCCTCGACGTCTGAAAGGAAGCACTGAATATAATGGACATCTTGGAATCAATTAGATGATTTGAACTTCGCAGACGACCAAGCCCTTCTATTACACAAACACCAACAAATACAGACGAAGACAACAAATGTAGCAGCAGTCTCTGTATCAATAGGCCTCAACATACGCAAAGGTAAAAGCAAGATTCTCAAATACAACACAGAGAACATCGTCCAAGCCAATCACGCTTGATGGAGAAATTGTGGAGGAGGTGGAAACTTCCACGTACCTGGACAAGGCGGATTCGATGAAGATGTAAAGTCAAGGATTGGCAAAGCAACAACAGCATTCCTACAGTCGAAGAACATTTGGAACTCAAAACAACTGTCAACCAATATCAAGGTCAGAATCTTCAATACGAACGTCAAGACAGTCCTACTGCACAGGGCTGAAACTTGGAGAACTGCTGCAGCTTCCATCAAAAAGTATAAGTATTTATAAACACTTGTTTACTCAAAATGTTCAATGTTCGTTGGTCGGATACCATCAGCAACAGCTTTTTGTGGGAGAGGATAAACCAGCTTCCAGCTGGAAAGGAAATTGGGAAAAGATGTTGGAGTTGGATAGGACATACATTAAGGAAATCACCAAACCGCATCACAAGGCAAGCCCTAGCTTGGAATCCGGAAGGGAAGCGGAAAAGAGGAAGGCCAAAGAACACATTACGCCGGGAAATAGAAGCAGATATGAAAAGGATGAATGTTAACTGGAAAGAACTAGAAAGGATTGCCCAGGATAGAGTTGGATGGGGAATGCTGATGGGCGGCCTATGCTCCTTCACGAGGGGTGACAGGCGCAAGTAAGTAAGTACATAAATCCTCGCAGCCTACTAAATAATTATTGGAGCGAAAAAACGTGGTGGACATAGAAAACCCTGGTGTCTTTGCCATCTAAGCAACGTGGCTGACTTCAGAGGTGTACGATAATGAAATTCATTTGCTTGGTTTCGTCGCTTATAGGATTGACAGACTAAATCACAGTAGTGGTTAGGCTACTCCGAATATGAAAAGCATTTTAACCATGCGAGCCATCGAAACAGTGACACACTACTCAGGAACCTACGAACTGGTGAGCTGCAGGTCCAAATATAAGGGGCAAAACATTGAGTTAGTTGCAGTTTACCGCAGTTCACAATGTGTAGTGGATGACTTACTCCTAAATAAACTTGAACCCTGGTTAATCAGACGTAAAAGACTCATAGTAGGTGACTTTAATGCACCCTTTATAAATTGGGGAGACTTAGAATTAGGAACACCAAAGACATCGTTTGACTACGAAGTAATTAGCATTCCTTTTGGATATATTACATTCTCTTGTTAAATAAATCGTGAAAATATGCAAGAATTCATTTAATTTTACTCAGATTTAGGTAAACAACGGTTAAACTTTGTAGAGTACAGTTAAGTAACAATAAGTCATGAAAATATTAAAGATTATAAATCTCCAGATCTAAATTATTGCTAAAGAATTAAATACTTGATCACGCAGTGATTTAATGTGACACTCGTCTCGTTAATTCAATTAGACTTTGGTTCATTCATATTCAATCATTGTGTCACTTTCGTTAACTGATAACCGCTGCTAGTAAATCTGTATATAACAGATGAAAGAATCCGAACTGCAAACTACTCTTCTATAGTCACAGTCAAACAAATCTTTCTAACAATACTTGTACTTTAGAGTACCTAGGGATATGTTACAAAAGGAGTGTGTTTTGGTACTGAAGTGTAACTAGGGATTGTTATCGTGATTTCAATACCTATTACAAAGAGTAGAATAAAAATCCCTCAAAGCTCACGGTCGACATGATATATCCACAATAATGAGTCAGAGAATGATGATTAATAGTTACATTAATTTACCTCACTGATAAAGTTATTTTGAAGACATGGTACAAAATATTCCTCATGGAGAAAGGTTTTATGATCTCCGACTGTAAAACCCAGATGTGAAAAAGATACGCGACATTTAGCCATAACAGGTGAAGTTTTTAGTGGCTTTGTATCTGACTCCAGTTAGATCGTATGTTAGTTGTTATCGAAATATACGTGTCGCCAACCTTCGTATATTTTTATCACTTTAATTCGCGTTAGAGAATAAGAGAATAGAATAAATTAAAATACAAGAATGCACTTTGAATACGTATATTTCACACATTCATTGATCAGAACAGACAATCAGAGAAACAAGAGGATAAGGCGAAGTGGAGAATGTCACTGGAAAAATGGGAAACGAAGCGATAAGGAGAAGGAGAGTGAGCCGACACGTTTTGATCAAGTGTTATTAAATATTTATATTCAGACAAAAATAATTTACAGACACGTAATAAATAGGGTGAGCAGTTAACACAAACATACACGATCATGTAAAAGGTCAGGGTTAATAAGCGAATGACTGACAAGATCAAAGTATGGCATGAAAAGAATGAATCAATTGGTCTGTTCAGAAGCTAGAGTAACCTACGTGGGCTTGACACGATGTCACTACAAGTTATGGAGGACGAATTCTCATATTAAAAAGGGAAATAAAGGTTGGCATCTAAACTAATGGAATCTTGAGTACCATGTGAATG